AAACAGAGTGAACTTGTCCGTCTTCACTGTTTATCTTGCGGAGACATTATAGATACATCTTTACAGCCATTTACCATTTTCATAAAATGAACTCTAGCAGACATAATAATATTATGGCTTTTGAAATTAGGTATTACAATGCTAATTCATAACAATGACGATATCGAATTCGTCACTGAATTCCCATGTTTTTTGGGACACCCTGTATCAAACCACCGATACCATTTGGAAATTATGAACAGAATTTTAAAACTATATTCCACTAATCTCTCATATCTAACATTATCTTCTATCAGTATAAAGCAAAATGTTTGTAATTTTACGATGAGGGGGCGTGGATCCAAAGATAATCGTTCTAAGTTTGAACCAGGGTTTCTTAAAGTGTACGAACATCTATAATGGACTGTAATTTCAAGATACCCTCGAGGAATGTCTAATTCACAAAAGTACCCTAAAATTTTTGTCTGGTAGTTATGAATAATATATCCATAGATTAATTAAAACAACATAAAGGCCACAAGATGTCGTCTTGTCAAGATCTAAGGGTTCCTCGTTCACAATAACCCTGAGGCAGAAGCCCAAAGGAGTTCCGCACAGGCAGCGTTGAATTACAAGACAGAGAGAGAGCATGCGCTGCCTGCGCAGAACTCCTTTGGGCTTTGCATGCCTCAGGGTCTTGTGAACGAAAAACCCCTAAATCTTAAAAAGACGACATCTAGTGTTCTATCTGTTATTTTAATTAATCAATGTATATATCCATGTTTTTGTTTTTGAAAACTGTTTATTTTCAACTGTAGGTTCTCAATAAAATTGACTTGTTCCTTTATTTTTTGGCTTCAGAGACAATAGAGAAATTATCAGAATGAAACACTTTTGATGCCAGAAAAATGACGTTATCATCCACATCATTGATTAGATTAAGGTTTCAAGGATATCGTTGTGAATTGACCCTTTTCAAAAATATGATTACTTAAAATAATGACTACAATCCTATAAAATTACCAAAGTTACTCCCGCCGTTTACCCCCACTTGGTCGATTTTACCGGTAACTAAATGACGGTAGACCACACTTTAAACACCCTAGGAGGTTAAACCTTTGTTTTTCATAGGAATTGAGTCTTTGCCACAAACTCTGATTTTCTCAGCCATTTATTAAATGTGGTAAACCTTGATATGATTAAATAAGCTAATGCAGACCTTTAAATTCGAGGTTGTAGCTTAAGGACTTAATTTATTTGCATTTTGATTATAACAGATGATTTTAAAGTTTCATTATTCTATGTTTACTGAGACACCCTGTACATAATCTCTGATATATGTTTACTGGAACACCCTGTACATAATCTCCAATCTATGTTTACTGGGACACCCTGTACATAATCTACTCCAATCTATGTTTACTGAGACACCCTGTACACAATCTCCAATCTATGTTTACTGGGACACCCTGTACATATTCTCCGATCTATGTTTACTGGGACACCCTGTACATAATCTCCGATCTATGTTTACTGGGCCACCCTGTACATATTCTCCGATCTATGTTTACTGGGACACCCTGTACATAATCTCCGATCTATGTTTTCTGGGACATCCTGTACATAATCTCCGAAACTGGGACAACCTGTACATAATATCCGATCTATGTTTACTGGGACACCCTGCACATAATCTCCGATCTATGTTTACTGGGACACCCTGTACATAATTTCCTTTCTATGTTTACTGGGACACCCTGTACATAATCTCCGATCTATGTTTTCTGGGACACCCTGTACATAATCTCCGATCTATATTTTCTAAGACACCCTGTACATCATCTCCGATCTATGTTTACTGGGACATCCTGTACATATTCTCCGATCTAAGTTTTCTGAGACACCCTGTACACAATCTCCGATCTATCTGATGAATGCCGGAAGACAGTCAATTATATAAAATAACAAAGTTATAAAAGATAAAAATATCTCCGGCTGATGCCAATTCTGATCTTAAAGGTTATGCTTTAATAATAACACCTGTATCAACCAAGTGTTGGGGGTTTATTTCAGGGGGGGGGGGAGCACATACGCCTGACACATGGCTTATTTGCTTTATTTATTATGACAAAGCTAAAATCACGAATGGGACAAACAAACTTTACAGATTATTGATTTCAAATCAAATCAAAACATTTACTTCTGCAGAAAATCGGTGCAACTAAATTTACGGTAATGTTACATCGTCTATACGCAATATCCCCCCTTACTGAACTTCCGACCTACTAACCTTGACCTACTGCAATATCGGACCTACGCCAGCTGTTTATTTTTGGATTATTTGAGGGTTAGGTTAGGTTAAGACAATTTCTGGGCCTAGGACAGGCTAGGGGGCCGAGCGCCGCGGCTAGGACAGGCTAGGGGGCCGGGCGCTGCGGCCACAAGTCCATATCGCAGCTGTAAAACCACGTGCTAGTAGGTCGGATGTGTAGTATAGCGGATTTGGCGTAGGTCAGAAGTGGAGTATTGTGGATATGTGTAGGTCTAAAAATACACCACCAAATTTACAGATCATGATGCATGGCCCTCAAAAACTTTAATCTTTAGGTGCGTTCTTCAGGGATCTGCAGTACACTGATCTAAAGAAAAGTAGGTTTTAGCGGAGAGTGTAGCTTATAGAATAATTTTTTTCTCAGTAAAGCCAGACTTATTGAGCGAGAGGCTGATTTTGAAAAGCTCAGGCCTTATAAACAAAATATTAAACTGATTTAAAAAGAAAAACTCAAAAATAAGAATTAAAAAGACCGATGGAAATCGGACATTGCCATCTTTGCATTGAGGGTTACTTTAAACTACGCTTACAGTCCTTTTTAAGCCAAACTTGAGTGTAAAAGTCGTCTTCCTCTTCCAATGCTTTATGGTTAGAGGTTGAATTTTTTCCTCTATCTTGCAGTACAGTTAAAAAATGTACATATATTGACACCCTTATGCAAAATCTGTGAAATCTAAGTCTTTGCCAAAAACTCACATTTTCTAATCCCTATATCTTTTCAACCTAATGGTGTAGACCTTTGACATTTAAAACTTAAATTATTTGATCTTACAAAATTCATAGTTTAAAATGTATAAAACTTTACGACATTGGATTGTAATGATAAATTTTTTAAAATCTGAATTTGTGATCTAGATTCAATTCCTCAGCGTGGAATTTTCCATGAATACATTTCAAATACATCTTCTAACCTTTTACTATTGTGATATTTATGTATATATATATTTATATCTGTTGAAGCATGAAGATCAATGAATTATCAAACTATTGTGTCGAAATTATCGAACAATTAAATGGCTTAATTCAATAATAATTAATTCAAAACAGAAGTTTCAGCCCCATATTGGGAATAAGGGGATTTTTTGTATCTTACTCCAGATATTGTATAATTTAAAAAAATGCTTGTTTTTTTACTTTAAAGTTTGTTACTCTTTCTCGAGGGGGCAATTTCCACCTCCCCTTGGGAAAGCTAGTAAAGGGTTGAACCCCCCCCCCCCCTCCCTAGTTGTGCCTCTGCTGGGAATCAAGTAAATATTTAGAAAATTTTAGTCATCTTTGCGCGCGCACTTTATAATATTAATCTAGATATGCTTGAGACTAATTAATGGGAAAGTTCCTCCAATATAGCAAAATTCTTACGCCGTACTAATTCTTGAAATATAAGCTGTTAAATTTAAAAACTAAAATAAGATATTCTTAATAATTTTTTCCAAAAAAAAAATCGCATCATAATAGTAATTGTACGTTTTTTAGCTTGTTTTAAGTTAAATGTTATTTTCTAATCTGACATTAAATTCTTGTTGATCTGTTAAATTAAATTTGTCCAAATAAAGTAAGATTACAATGTATTGTTAAGAAAGATAGATTTATCATCTTATATTGCCAACTTATCGAATTCAATAGCATCTGCTGCTAGAATTGCTAAGTACTTTTATAGGACAAAAGAAGTACGACAAGAGAGATAGGACAAGAGATATAGGACTAGAGGGATAGGACAAGAGAGATAGAATACGAGTGACAGGACACAAGATATGGACAAGAGTTGTAGGACAATTGAGGGAGAGGACAAGAGAGGTAGGATAAGATAGATAGGACAAGAGAGACAAAACAAGAGAGATAGGACAAGAGTGGTAGGACAAGAGTAGAAGGACAAGAGAGGTAGGACTAGAGAGTTAGGAAAAGAGATTTAGGACAATAGAGGTAGGAAAATAGATATTTAGATAAAAACAAAGGGTAGGCAAATATATAGATCAGAAACAAAGGTTTTGCAGATATATAGATCAGAAACAGAGGTTTTGCAGATATATAGATCAGAAACAGAGGTTTTACAGATATATATAGATCAGAAACAGAAGTTTTACAGATATATATAGATCAGAAACAAAGGTTTTGCAGATATACAGATCAGAAACAAAGGTTTTGCATATATACAGATTAAAAACAAAGGTTCAGATCGGAAACAAAGGGGTTGCAGATATATATAGATCAGAAACAAAGGTTGTGCAAATATATAGATCAGAAACAAAGGTTTTGCAGAAATATAGATCAGAAATAATGGTTTTGCAGATCTACAGATTAGAAACAAAGGTTTTGCAGATATATAGATAAGAAACAGAGGGTTTGCAGATATATAGATTAGAAACAAAGGGTTTGCAGATATATATAGATCAGAAACAAAGGTTTGCAGCTATATATATAGATCAGAAACAAAGGTTTGCAGATATATATAGATCAGAAACAGAAGGCAAAATGATCAACAAAACGCAGGCTGTGAAGCGCCCTATCCTTTAGCCCCTTAGTTAAATATTACCAGACAAGGAAAATATCAAAGTAACCTTTTAAAAAAAAAGAAACCTAGACACACCTAAGTTCCATGAACCCCCGCGGGTTACAGCGCGCGCCACTGGTTTGCGCGGAGCACCCAACGCGCATTTAAATGATGAGTATAAAAGAGGGCAATCTAAAATATAGAATTAGTTCCAATAGCTCACTTGTAAAATCATGATCAAGTATTTGGTAAGAAGAATATTAGTCATTCAAAATTTTTAACTGATTTCATTTGACCAAGCGATAAAAATATAAGAATAAATCTGAAAAAATAATAAAAAAAGTTGAATACAAAAAAAATTTGTAAATATTCTTTAAATCCAATTTTCAGATATTTTTTTCCGACCTTAAAGCAGAAAAACGATGTCATTGCGTAGCAAAGTATTTATTGTCTTAAAAACTTAAACACTTAAAAACCTTAAAATCGCTAAAGTTGCTCCCCCCCACCACTAAAAATGTTTTTGTACAGTGAAACCCTTAATAAAGAATACATCGAAAGAATTTATCAAATGTCGTTTTCTAAATCTCCTGATAATAGAATGCTGCAACACTGTACCTTTCAGGATGTTCTGTCATCCAAAATTCGTCCAACTTGCATGAAAGAATATCTTCTGGATTAATTTGAATCCTGTAGACATGTAAACCACGGATGTGAGTACGTTCTAACATTTTAGAGAGAGTAAACTGAAAACTGAAAAAATGTTGTGTCTAAGTCTAACGCCGAACTCTTGCTTGATAGAGAGAACTAACTAGGCATAGTAATATACTGTCATGTTTCGTGGGACACCCTGTATCTAGATATTTTCCAAACTTTGATTATTTATTTAGAACAATTTTCTAACTACAATATCTATTTAGGCTCTTCTTGTTTTTCTTGGCGTAGCCGTCGCTGATGCGTACCGTGGAGGTTACGGTTACGGAGGTCGTGGCTATGGAGGTCGTGGCTATGGAGGTTACGGCTATGGTGGCCGTGGAGGTTATGGCTATGGTGGATACAGAGGAAGGAGGTCTGCTGATGCTGATCCCGAAGCTGAGGCTGTTGCCGCTCCCGATGCTTCTGCAGATGCTGAACCCGGATATGGATATGGACGTGGTTATGGATATGGTGTAGGCTACGGACATGGATATGGCGGATATGGCTATGGAGGATACAGAGGCAAGAGGTCCGCTGACGCCGAGGCTGTTGCCGAGCCAGGATATGGCTATGGCGGATACAGATACGGTCACGGAGGATATGGTCATGGATATGGCTATGGTGGATACGGATATGGCGGATACAGAGGCAAGAGGTCCGCTGATGCCGATGCCTACGGATACGGATATGCCCGTGGTTATGGAGGATATAGCCGAGGCTACGGAGGATACGGTCGAGGATATGGTGGATACGGATACTACGGATAAATGTTAAATTCATGTGAGAGTTTTGGAAACTACAGATCAATTTCAATCTAAAATAAATTATAAAATCTGAAATATTTTTCTGTGAAATTTAAATTCAATAATAAGCACCTTAAGGATTATATGGAAACTTAAATATTATGAGACTTAGAAGTTGACGAAAAAGTGTTTTTCAATCTTGTATAGTTTTCATAGTATCCCCAAAATCTGAAATGTAAAAAATGTTTAGCTTTAAGTTCAGAAAAGAGTTGAATCTGAGCTGATATTTTAAAAGTACACCCAGTTCACAAGGTTTAGTAAACCCCAAATCTTAGATTGACTTTTGAACAGTTCTGATTCAACCAACTGGAAAACTTAAACTGTACGTGTATATATTCCTTGATTGTTTAATTGATAGATTTATCCAATTTAGACACAGATAAGTTACAAGATTTTTAATGTAATAATATACTACAGCCGTTGTTGTAAATGTCAATACAATGAAGACGACTTTAAATTTTGACCAAGCGTTTAGACAGCATGGAAACAAAGAGAAGCTGCCAATTAACATCTTCTCTCTGAAAACTTGGTAGAAATCAAACAAGTTTAAGAAAAGATTCAACCACTTAGGTCGATTTTACCTTAAACACGGTCGAGCTAAAATTTACGGCTTTACTTGGGCTCCTTGGTCGTTAATAGACGGCTTAAGACTTCTAAATCTTAGCTCTCATAATAAGGGAATTTCCGCATTTTCTTACAAAGGCGGCCTTCTGATTTAGTTTTAAGAGATTTCTGTGTTTTTTTCATGTATATGGGCCTGAATTGTGATGAATCTATTTAATCAAAAACCCAAAATTTGCCCTGCATTGGGACATCACATTTCAGGAACTACAGAGTGTCCCAATAAACATGGGTTCAGCGACGATTTTGACATCGTCTTTGTAAAGGATTGTTGTGATTTATTATGGTGATCCTTAATAGGAAAGCAATAATTTGTTCAGCATTTGTGTTTTTTTACAGGAATTCGTGAATACAATCCATAGATAAAACAGTAACACACAAGGAGTGGATACAAAACGCCCAAGAACAAAACACCCAACTTAACAAAAAGCCCAAATTTACAAAATGTCCAAAGTTAAAAAATGTCCAAGGTTGAACATTCTGTAACTTTGGACATGTTGTAACTCGGACATGTTGTAACTTTGGACATGTGTAACTTTGGGCATTTTTATCTTTGGACATTTTGTAACTTTGGATATTTTGTAAGTTTGGACATTTTGTAAGTTTTGACGTTTTGAAATCTTGGGTGTTTTGTTATTGGACATTTTATTCTTGGGCGTTTTGTATCTATACACAGAACATAATTATTTCTCTTCACTGTTTACCTTGCAGAAATGTTACTTAACTTCATATTACGTATTGCAGAATAACAAAACAGTCTTTTATTCACAGACTACACAGACTACGGTTCCATGTAATGTTTTTTGACTGACATCTTAAAGCCACTTGTTGCATTCAAGGGTTAAGTTTTACAAGTTTTAACCCTATTCCCGCTGGGGGGGGGGGACAAATTGCCCCCCCCCCAGCGTATCCTGGTTTTCAAGTATCCCAGCGGGGATAGGGTTAAAGGAGTACTCCAATTTTAAACATAAAACATAACGTTGATGAATATTGTCTATTTTTAAAGATTTTGCATTTCCTATTCAAAGGATTCTTAAATATCCTTGAATGCAAATGTTTGCTGATTGGTCGTGTACAGTACTTGTACACAATAGAACATGGTGTGGAAAAGATCGCATATTATAGATGGTAATCGATCTCTGTAACTCTTATCTCTGCTTTTACCGTGTGCATGAAATATACTCTAGCAGAAGTAGCTTTATTTTGATCGTTGAAATTATAGGTAACACATTGCTGATTCTTTACAAAGACGATCTTGAATTCTTCTCTTAGTTCCCATGTTTAATGGGACACCCTGTATGTGAGGTCAATTTGGCCCGTGGGGTCACAAAAGACATGAACTTCGGTGTCAGGAAAATGCCCTCTAATCTTTCTCGTCTTTTTGGACATTTTTTATAACTCACTTATCAAAAGTCACAAACTTTGGGTCGCGAAATTCATATTTAGACTCAACATTGCATTTTCCTCCGGTCCCTCTACAATTCTCTCTTTCTCCCATGGAACTTTTATAAACTTTATTACCTAGGGTTAATCTTTAATATTTGGCAAACAGACCTGAATTTTCAACAACTAGTTTTTGAATCAAGTGCCTAAAGTTCCACTAATTTTTTTAAACTTTGTGATAGGTCGATATGGGGTTCACTGAGCACATAGAGGAAGTTTAGTTCTGTTGATTCTAATACCTTAGGTTATTTTAATAGCGTTATAGAAGATATGACACCAAAATTAGAAATCCCTGTGGGGACCTTTTCAAGAAAACCCCTTTTTAAAAAATCGTTAAATCAAGTGCATTATCAGGTGTAAAGTCAAATATAACTGCAGTTACAAGGCCGGGTTTCTTCTGTTTTTTTTCTCTCTATATTTTTTAAACATAAGTAAAACCATAGCCTTAAATCAACTGCCTGGGAAAGTCAAATAAATATCATTTTATCTAATATCTGTTCAAAAAGACATTTTCAAATGGTTCTAGTGATGGGCACGTTCGACTTTTTAATTTCGTTCGTGAACGACCCATTTCGTTCGTTCTTTTCTATTTGTTCAAAAAAAATGATTTTGTTATTTCTCAAAATTATATTATCGTTCATTTTCCATCTACTTCGTACATTTTCTCACTGAACGATCGTTCAGTAAAATCTTTGTTTCAATAAAATCGTTTTTTAAAATGTGTTTCTTTTCGAAAAATCTTTTGTTCAGAAAAAAGGAGCGTGTTTTCCTCCAAATCTTTTGGAAAATTTTCAAGTTCGTTCGCACGATTTTAGGTCGTTCGTTTTTAACGCCTGCATAATATCATCATGTCATTAAACTTTAATTGGTTATCTCTATATATCTATGTTAAACTATGCTCCTGCATAATATCATATTGTCATTAAACTTTAATTGATTATCTCTATAAATCTATGTTAAACTATACTAACTGTGCCTGCATACTAGCATATTGTCTTTAAACTTTAATAAATTATCTTATTCTATGTTAAACTATGTTAACTGTGCCTGCATTCTAGCATATTGTCTTTAAACTTTAATAAATTATCTTTTTCTTTGTTTAACTATACTGACTGTGCCTGCATATTAGAATATTGTCTATAAAATTTAATAAATTATCTTTTTCTTTGTTTAACTAGACTGACTGTGCCTGCATAATAGAATATTGTCTATAAAATTTAATAAATTATCTTTTTCTTTGTTTAACTATGCTGACTGTGCCTGCATATTAGAATATTGTCTATAAAATTTAATAAATTATCTTTTTCTTTAACTATGCTGACTGTGCCTGCATAATAGCATATTTTCTTTGAACTTACATCGATTATCTATATCTATGTTAAACTAGTGAGCCTACATAACATAACTTTAATTGTTTATCTATCTGTTTAACTATGCTAACTGTGCCTCCATATTAGCAGATTTTCTTAAAACTTTAATAAATTATCTATCTGTTTAACTATGATAACTGTGCCTCCATATTACCATTTTTTCTTAAAACTTTAATTGATTATCAATCCATATATATATACTTTGTCTGTCTGTTTGTATCTAATAAACGTCAAAACGGCTGAACCATTAGGCCAAATTTTGCGCGGGACCACACGTGGCCCCATGGAAGGTTAGGAATGATCAAAATTTCAAATATTTGTCTCAAAATTCGATTTTTATTAATTTTTGAAAAATTTGAAAATCCGCGAACTTTTTTGTTTTGTTTTGTTCATAATTAGAGTAGAAGAGTTAAGTATATCTAAATATGTTAAACTATGCTGACTGTTCCTGCATAGCATCTTATTTTTAAAATAAATCAATGAATGTAAAATGTTGTAATTTATTGAATTTTCCATCACACAAAAAAGAATTTCGATAAACGGTGAAAACTGGAGAGGAGTTTTATAATCATAGCTTTGCTCTTGATGTAGAAGAAAAGAAATAGAGTCCATCTTAGAATGACATTGATGGACTGTAGTTTAAGCAGAATCCATTTGCTCCACTTGCCTCACATCAGTGCTTGTCACAGTGAACTAAGAAAAAGTATATTTTAAATGAAGGGTTGTTAATCAGTTTGGTTCGTTTTTGGAAAGTTTGGACTTAAAAAAGGGTTAACAAAAATATGAAAAGTATTAAAAATTTTAAAACTGTTTATTCTAAAAACATTTCCTTTTCCTACACTATGCCAAATTTAGACCGTGAGAGAAAATTAATGCAAAAATGATAGTTTTTTATTCGTTTTTTAGAAATTTAACACAACATGACGATGACTTTTGAGACTTTCTAAAAAATTTCTCAAGCGACCGAGCCTTATTTGACTCAAAAAAAAGGTTTATGGTGTGAACTCAATATTGCTCCCCCCCCCCCCCTAAAACCCCCCTGTTCCCCTCCCCATTCCGAAATCCACTGATTTCATCTTTATTTACAAAAATGTTTTTTATCAAGATGTTTTGTTACAAGCTGGAAGGAAATTCACCATGTAATTCAAATGGACTCTTTCTTCAAAAAGAAATTAGTCTAAAAATAGAGCAAAGATAAACAAGAAAATGGAGATAAATTTCCATTTTTTGTCTATGTTTAAAATATTACAATCATTGTAAGCAAGTAATTAATTAAAGGTCACCGTAGTTTTATCTGCTAGGGTGATATTTCGAACAGATTCAGTCAAAATCTCGGTTGTTCCCTGTAATATAAATATAATAATAATGATAACAATAATGATAACAATGATTATGATAATTATAATATTTTTTGATGATTTTGATATAAATGATAATAATTGAAAATGAAAATAATGATAACAATGATAGCAATGATAAAGATAATAATGATGATAATAATGATAATAATCAAGATATTGATATCAGATGATAATAATGATAATAACAAAAATAAAATTCATTTAAAACAAGTTCAACATAAAGATTGAGATAAAAACCTTCCAAAATATTGGAACTTTTTAATAGCTAAACCATCATGTTTAGAATATTGCATTGTTGCATCATGTTTTATATATTGAATCAATTTCGATAAAACGTTTTAAGGATGATATTATCTATTATAACATATCTGTTCGGTTCCATAGTAGTAAACCTATCGTGTAAGAATTCCCATTATTACACGGTTCAGGAGGAACAATTTTAATATTGTTCGCTTTCTAGCGTTTAAGAATGCTTATTCTTACACAGTAGGTGTAGAATTTTCATTCTTTAACGCTCAGACCGTGTAAGAATGGAAATTATTACACGGTCAGAGCGNTCATGCAAGAATGAAGTGGCGGGTCAGGTCATCATTTATTCTTCTAGATCCATGGCTGCATTTCTATGCTCATCATATTATTTCATCTCGTTTAAGAATTTCCATTATTACATTTTTTTCCTCATAAGATTATCATATTTTTTAACCTTCTTGAATGTGTACTTCTGTCTTCTTGTTCCCTTCACGTTAGCCTCGTCGTATGCCCTTAGGTACTGCACCTACATGGGAAATAATAAAGGATTAAAAAAATTAAAAATTAATAAATTTAAAAAAAGAAAAAACTACTTAATACTCGATACAGATCATATGACAGATAATAAGATTTTTTATTTTAAAGAGATTTCGACCACCTATAAACTTTCCCAGGCGTCATGTGAGATCAGGGGTGTATATTTTTTTAAAGAATTACCCAGGAGGTGGAGGGGGGGATGGGGTAAATTTTTTCGACGATCTGTGGAAAATAATTGACATCTAAAGCCATGTTTTTCATCCCATTTCATACTTTTTACCCAAAAAAGGAGATGGGGGAGATTTATGTATATGAAATGAAAGCTAGGAACCCACGCAATACAGTAAAAGCAAAGAATACAGTGTTTTACCGTCTTATTTTTTAGATTCGAAAGTTTTTTTAAAAAGTGTTTCTAATATTTCCTTCAGCTAATATTATATAGATTTATAGTAAATTTTTTTTTTCCAACTTACGTTATCATTAGCCTTGATAACGACAAGGTCCACGTTGCTACCAGATCCCATATCGTTGAAGATACCGGCAGCGATGGCATTCCTCACCAACTTCTTAGCATCCTCCTCCTAGATTAAAAAATCTGTTCACGAATCTCAAATGAACCTCCATTTACATAATGTTATGTCTCATTCACAACGGTACCTATCAATGATTTGTTTGAGCAAGAAAATGTTTTTAGCTTCGAAAAAAACGATTTTTTTCCATTGTGAGTCCGCTGATAAAGTGCCTTGTAGATTTATGCATAAGAGACAATTAAGAAAATTGTCGATATTGAGTATTTTTGAAATCACGGAAGATTTGCGAATATATGCAATTTTGTTGCACTTACGGTCAGTTCAAATAAAATTGAATTGGCAAATTCAAATTAGGACATTTTATATCATCTAAGGCCGGGTTTTATGAATAGCATTAATTAGTTGAACTTAAGTTTATCAAAAACCTTGATCCCCCCCCACAAATAGAAAACTAATTAAACCTCCATATCCTTCTTCCAGCCTGACTCAAGCACAGACATAGCAGCCAGGGTACCTGAACCCATAGCACAGAACGGTACCTAGGAATATATTAACTTTTAAGGGGGTGTTCAACAACTTTGGAACATTGAAGAGAGCGTTCAAAAACTTTGGCCCATTAAAAAATGGTGTGGGTTAATTATGTTACATTAAACGGGGTGGTACCAGTTACATCAATTCTGTAACATAAAACATTAAAGTGAGTGTTCAATTCTGTAACATTAAAGGTTTTTTTTTATGATATCCAATTATTAAACTATGATCAATTAGGAGGTTCCTGAAAGTATTTGCACGACGATGAAACCTGAAGAAATATTTTAGATCTATTCCTCTTGATCTTAAATACTTACGTTAGAAGTTGATCCGTGGGCAGCAATCTCGTAGAGGCTAGGTCCCTTAATATCCACGCCACCCATAATCAAATAAGTTCCGATATGACCCTAGAAACAATATAAACGTTAAATAAATTCCACTTTATATAAATTAATATAAATATATATATATACTTTGCTTGTCTGTTTGTTTGTTCGTGTCTAATACACGTCAGTGNCCCCCTCGTCTCCCTTCGACTACCTGATATCTGAAAAGCATCTGCTTGACAAGTTGTTGTGCTGCAACAACACGAACCTGGCGCCCTGTGTTCAACCTTGGATAGATTAGGACAAGATGAGATAAAATAAGCAAAAAAAGAAGGAAAATAAAGTGACAATTCTGATTTGTTAAACAAATTCAGTAAATCTTTAAGATGTTCATGACCTGGATCCGGATTCATTATTTCCCAGTGCGGATCCGCATAAAAATTAAATGGATCCTAAGCAATGCGAAAAAAACGGAAAATGCGTAAACCTGAGAAGCTCCAGCTGTGATGAGATGGTAGCTGTAGTTTTATCACAATCAGCAGCAGTTCCAGCTCCAGCACAGTAGATATTAGCAGCCATGTAATGCAGCTTCTCTACAATATAACAAAGATCCATTTTTAATTCTTTATAACAGATATAACCAAATTAAGCAGCTTCTCTACAATATAACAAAGATCCATTCTTAATTCTTTATAACAGATATAACCAAATTAAGCAGCTTCTCTACAATATGATAAAGATCCATTCTTAATTCTTTATAACAGATATAACCAAATTAAGCAGCTTCTCTACAATATGATAAAGATCCATTCTTAATTCTTTATAACCAAACTAAGAAGCCATATACTGCAGCTGCTCTACAATATAACAAAGATCCATTCTTAATTCTTTGTAACCAAATTAAGCAGCTTCTCTACAATATAACAAAGATCCATTCTTAATTCTTTATAACCAAATTAAGCAGCCATATAATGCAGCATCAATAACTAGTGATTAAAATCAGATTGGTCAGGAAATCAAATGGTCATAAGAGGTTATTTATTTACAATATCGATGATATTAATTCTTTGAGGAAGCTCATGGGTAAAACAAAGGTTAAAAATTTTTCTTTTAAAATGGATTTTTATTACAATATTCGATTTCTTTAAAAATTCCACGGGCAACGTCGGGCACTTCAGCTAGTGATAAAAAATAAAGTATTAATTTTACCGCAATTCTTGTTTGCAACAATATCTCCCCCGGTTGCTCTTGTATCAGCGCCAAGAATAACCCCATCCTGGATTATTCAAACCAAGATAATTTAGAAGAAAACATGAAAATGGAAAAGTTGCACTGAAAATTCCGCACAAATTTACTCAATGGCAAAGATAAAAGAAATTTCAACAAATCTTTAAAAATTCTTCATTTTAAAACAGTAAATTATATATAAATAATTTTGCAATATTTCAAATGTAAAAAAAAAAACTTTTTAATCAATAATTTAAAAAAATTGGTTTGAAATTTTTCCTTGAAGACAATTCCACAGATGGTTGTTCCAGTCTTTGTCACCTTAAAACAGAAATTATTATTATTGAAATAAAATATGTTTGACTCGTCTGCTTGATGTTTCCTTTCCCTGGATCCAATGAAAGCAAAAAAAACGGCTAAACTGAGTCCGAATTTAATGAATTTAAGCCGCGTCTTAAATACCCCAAAAACCGGTTTCAATTGAGCGCCGGCTTAAATCATGAAACATTGAATACGATTTTAAGTGGAACCAACCATATTTGAGCCGCGGCTCAAATTCTTTAATTTCAGCCTCTGAAGTCATAACTTTTGAGTTGTACATCTCCGGATCAAACATCGAACTCCACCTTATGCAGACCAATGGGTTAATTTAATTCCTCTGAAGATATTACGAGTTGATCATTCCCTGCAACATTAAATGAGGGATCATAATTTATCCTTCATTTAAAAGTGCGCATATTGGATATCGAGATCAAGCGTTCAAGATTTAAAAAACTTAAATACAAAAGTTCTGAACTCTGGCCAAAGTTTATTGGGAGATATCGACTAACCCAAGAAAAAATAGTCACTTTACTAATTTTATTTTTATTTATTTAAAGCAAACTGCAAACTGCAAACTGCAAACTGCAAACTGCAAACTGCAAACTGGGGGTACTAAGTACTTCCCCTAAACGATACGTGTGCAACCACGTCTGCGGTCGTCTGTCTTTAATGGCCTATTTTAGAACCCTGGATGTAAGCGCACTGGGTGTAGTGATTCCGGCAACCTGAGTAAATCGTAGCCCTAGGTTGACATCCTCCAACCCACCTACCTCTCTTAAGACACATGCCAAGTTCTTGGGGTGGTTTATTTCTTAGTAAAATCGTCAATGGCATTTTCAAATATTCGAGGTTGGTCTGGCATAAATCATTTATAAATATATTTCAAGTTAGGGGTCATCTCACTTAACCCACCTGCTATTTATTTTAATATATATAGTCATACGTCATTGAGCTTAACAATCACAAAGCTTATGGTTTTAATGTTAAAATTCGGTAATTTCCTGGCAAACGAATTTTGGACCCCCCCCCCCATCCTCAATTTTGTACATGGAGCTCTACGTGACACATGGTCAAAGTTAAAAATATTAATAAAACTTCAAAGATTTAAAAACTGTATCATGCTAAGCTTTAATTTTGACTTAGCAAAATCTTTTGACGTAAAATAATGAAAAATCCAAAAACGATTAGAAGAATGATCGTTAATGACATGTTCGTTTTCGGGTTTTGGTTTTGGGCTAAAATTTGACATAGTATTTAGAAAAAAAACCAATAAGTTTGTTTTCTTACACTATACTAAGCTAAATTTTGACCCTAAAAGAAAAGAAATACAAAAAACGACCAAAAAACGAAAACCCGAAGGCTCATCCCTAGTCGTATACTATAGTCGGGCCCAAGTTGTCTTTAATACAATAGCAGGGACATCGAAAAAATATCAACCCTGTCTTGAAAATAAACAAGTGACTAATCTTCATATTTCAGAAATTGAATTTGATTACGTTGATAGTTGATACGTTGATAGTTTCACCGCCAAGGTCCTGCATCATGCAAGAATGAAGTGAAGGGTCAGGTCATCATTTATTCTTCTAGATCCATGGCTGCATTTCTATGCTCATCATAACTGTTTTTAAAGCATATAGGGTCATGGACCCCTTTACTGCCTCAGGCAGTTGGTTCCAGCCTTTAACAACTCTAATAGAAAAAAAGTTTTTTCTTACGTCCAGGTTTGTTCTCTTCATCTCCAGGTTGAATATNAAATCTTTCACTATAAATGAGCCAATTTGGGGTAGATTCGATTTATCACAATTTTCAGGCTCAAAACGCCGCGGCTCGGTGCAAAAAGGAAATTACCTGCTATATCAATAATTTTAATTAGTTACTTAAATAATTTAAACAATTTATATAATGTGGGTCACCTTGGGGGGTTTAAACCCTGATCCTGCAAGATAAGCATTCCTCTTGCAGTTCTCAAAGGAGAACCCGGTTTTTTGGTTGTCGAGCATTCTGATCTGAAAACAGCGGTCGTCGGTCGTTAAAGGGAGGATTGGTAATTTTTGAATAGTACATCGTATGATTCGAGCACTGCAATTGTAATTCATTCTTCTATTAAGTTTTAAAGTTAAACTTTAGTAAAAGACTTAGATATAGATTAAAAATAAAATTGATAAAAACTCTGTATGAACGTGAAAATATTGAATTCAAAATTAAAATTATGGCTCAATATTTAAATTTTCCAAAATTTTGTGGGGCTACTATAATTCTATAATTGCACGAATAATAATTCAAGAAACAAATTTTGAAATCACTGTTTGATTTGGCAAGTCACAATTGCTCCTGAGCGCAAATGCCGTACAAAATAAAAGTATTAAGCCGGGAGTAGAAAAGACGACATCTATATTAAAATCTCTATTAGTTGATTGCGAGATCGCTTTATCATAATTAAGGCCGTTCTAATAAAGAAATGCAATACACTGGTGTAAACCCTAAGGGTATATTTACACTGGTGTATTTGTGTCCCCCGGTGTAACCTATCGTCTATACGCAACATCCCCCCTACTGAACTTCTGACCTACTAACTTTCCGACCTACTGCAATATCGGACCTACGCCAGCTGTTTATTTTAGTATTATTTGAGGGTTAGGTTAGGTTTAGACAATTTCTGGGCCGAGCGCCGCGGCTAGGACAGGCTAGGGGGCCGTGTGCTGCGGCCACAAGTCCATATAGCAGCTGTAATACCACGTGCTAGTAGGTCGGATGTGTAGTATAGCGGATTTGGCGTAGGTCAGAAGTGGAGTATGGCGGATATGTGTAAGTCGAAAAATACACCACCCATAATTATTGAATCCTTGATGTGTCGCATGACTGATTCACAACTTTACCGGTTATTGACCCTGTTTCTGATAATTTTTTCTACTATGAAAACTTTAAATTCTTGTAATTTTTCCTTTGTTTTCGAAGCAAAAATTCTTCTACAGTTATAGCACTTCTACAGTCTTCCATAATTAATATAATCGGGTTTCAAAACAAAATCTAATGCGTTTTCAATCAAAAATTTAATTGTCTTGAATTTCCGCCTGTATCCCGTTAATTGCCATTACATTTTCATATTCCCACGAAACATTACAGTTGGCGCCGGTGGATAGTTTAAAATGTTTTCTCCCATAATATGTCAAGTTTATTAGTTTCCAAAGAGAATAATAATAAATATTTTATGGCATCCATATTAAAGTAAGATTGATTTCTAAGTAAAATATATTTGAATAAAGTTTTTTTAACTAAATAAACTGCGAAAAGTCAATATCTAACACAGTATATGGAAGAAGACATTTAAAACTATTCACCAACTGTCATGTTTCGTGGGACACCCTGTACCTACAATAGCAAATGTATGGTGTTTAGTTATACAGTCTGTTTCAGACGCAATTTTTAAACAATTATTTTTACATTTTAAACTTGGATAGATTACACACACGGTTTTTATTGTTATTTTACTGATAGCTTAACAATTAAAGTGGAGAATCAGTTCAAAAAAACAAAACGAAAATATATCACGAGTTTTAACAGGAAAACGACTAGAACAAATTAATACATAAAAATATCTAAACTGATGTATAAATATAACAAGTAGATATATAATAGTGTAAAGTTTGTATGTACAATTAAACTGTTTCATGTATTGCATTACAATGCAAATTTCATATCTTATAACGTTTTTTGTTTGTTAGATTAGATATTTTTTACCGTTTCATCACCAGTATCAATCACAAGACGATCGCACTCTGAATCCGAGTCATTTCCAGCCCCCTCTTCATCATCGTGTTCCACGTCGAGTGCTTCCTCATTGTGATCATGATCATCTTCACCCTCATGATCAACTACAGTTGTATGATCATCCAAATCGAATTCCAGAGCTTCGCTCTCGTAATAATCTTCATCTAAAAATGCGCCAACTCCGTGAATCTGTAAATCCTCACAGTACATGTCAGGTTCAGGTTTTTTAATTCGATGGATTAGCAACAGATGTTTCCGCCAAGACGGGTCCGTTGCAAAACTAGCTCCACACTCCTGCACACCAAGGGTTTAAAACTTCGATTTCAGCATCAGCTTGAGAAATAATGCATCAAAGCTTGGCATTCTTTACAAAAATTGCCTAATTTACGAAAAGTTCTTGTAAAAGTTATCCCAAAATAGAAAAACTATTAAACAAATTGGAATGACGAAAAGGAAACTTGAATGATATTCAAAATTGTAATGAGAAAAATGCAAGAAAAAAATTGCTAATTGTAATGAAAAATGAACTTATTGGAGTTTATAAACCCTGCCTTGCACTGAAAACTCTCTAGCTTGTAATGCACCCGGATATGAACCTGAAACTGGTCCCTAGTATTGAACCTTGCCGAACACACCTGGCAGACGTTCTTCTCCTTAACCTGCAGATAGTGGAGAACGGTTGAAAATTATGAAAATGGTGAATTTTGCTACTTGTCAGAGATGCCAAGAAAATGCCCAAAATTGCTAAGAACATTATATGGATAAGATAAAAACAAAGACAAGATGAGAAAACAGTTTTTGCTGGTTCTTTTAAATGTAATCTATTTTTATATATAAAGTAAAAATTTGGCTGTTTTGGTGCTTGTCTGCTTGTTTGTTTGAATATCCGATCATGAAACCTTTGACCCAAATTATGTAAAAATTACAAAAAAAATATCTAAAAGATTAATAACAAACCTGTAGAACAGTTGAACCCTGGCTAAATGCGTCCTGATTCTTTAGAGAGTTTAATGCCAGCAGTTCCTTGTCCGAGGGAACATCTATTCCTGAAGTCAAAGTTCAATAGACAAGATTACGTAATTTCAGTCATTAATCATTTTCCAATAACCCATTTCTCAACCTTAAATACATAGGACATTAATACAATTGAGATTATTCTTTAATTTTGAAAAAATAAATCTATAAAATAATACCCAGCATAAAAAAATCATAAAAAGGTGTTAATCAATTATTATTGAGAATTTATTTAATAAGTGAGCTTTGCCTAAGGTTGAAAACTGTGATGAGGATTTAACAGATTCCGCCATCTTGATTTTGGTCTTTCCTTTCATACTAGGAGTAGCAGTTGAACTTGTGCTGGCTGAGAGCGGACTAAAATCTTGCTCAGGGACTATCTTTATTTTCATTTTTAGTGGAGAGGTATCAGATTTACGCTTTTTGTTGTCCGTTTTCTCAGTTTCTGATGATCTTTTAGTGTTTCTAGTTTGTCGGGCCTGATCTGGGGTTTCTTCTTTTTGCGGCGCAGTGGTTGGCGGTGACACTAGAGGCACAGTGTGATGTTTATCAATATGGTTCTTGAAGTTTCTACCATGTTTCCAACATCCTTTACAATTTATATCCTCACGCACTCGTCTTAGATCGTTGAGGACTTCGACATACTTGTCCTCAACGGGTTTATCATTGTACAGATCATCCATGGTGAAGTTGTGTGTACATCCGGTTGTGTGAGTTCGAAAACTATCTTTGCTTTCGAAGATTTCTTGGCATCTGTTACAGCGGTATTGAAATACTACATTAAAGCTCATCTCGGCTTCTAAGTTTGCAAAAAAATTAATAATATTTTAATATTTTCTAGAAAAGTAGAAGACTTTATTTCAAGGAAAAGATAATTTCTCTTTTTTCTTTTATAAAAGAAACTTCTGTCAATATTCTTCTATATAAGGCCGCAAGTAATTTTCAAGGAAACAAAAACGCAACTAAAAAGAATAGTGAATAAGGTACTATTTAACTAAGAACTTTGGAGCCATCGAAAAATTTTAAAAATGTGTCTTTGTCAATATTTTTTTTTACTATTTTACCTAAATATCATTAATTTAAAAAGTAAATAAAAAGCCATAAATTATACCGAAACAGTTTTTAAGAGCTCCATATAATTATTCAATTAAAAAACTAAATATCTGCAGCCTTCCATTATTAGTGGGTTTAGAAAACGACATTTTATAAATTCTTATAGTATCTCCGATGTTCTGGGTTAAACTGTATCCAACTCATATTGAATTTCTGACACTGCTTTTTTTGTTAATGGTTGAAAGTTGAATGTTAAAACTGTAAATTTTGCAATTTTCCTAAATGGGATTTTAGCTGTAGAACATCACTAAAAAACATGGATGATTTGGAAGAAGATTTATAGAGAATCTTAAAGGTTCCAGGCCCTGTATGCTGAGTTTTGGCATGCTGAACGAACTTATCCTTGGACTGAAAAGCTCTGGGACACTCCGCGCATTTGTAGAATTGTTTTGTATGCGCATTTACCACGTGGGAAATTAAAATGGCGGCGGAAGGTGAAACAAACATGGTGGAATGCCCATTTGTATTCTGCACATTCCCAGCGCTGGTTGACTCGGAATGCTGTTGTTGACAGGATAAAGAACTACAGCACATAATGCAAGAGTAGACTAGAGTTTTGGTATCATGAAAACAGGATCGAGAAATATGGTTTCTAACAGAAAATAACGTCAACAAACTTTCACTGGATAAATATATTTAACTCGCTGAAGGGCCAGGCGTTGCCCATGGAAAAAAATTTTTTGAAAAAAAAAATATTTTGAAAAAAAATTAGAATTTTTTTAGCATATAACACCCCTTCCCCCGGCCACCCATGAGTGTCGACACAAAAAAATTCAGCCCAATCGGTCCAGCCGTTTGGCCGGCTATAGGCAATATATATATATATATATAAAAAAAATGCAGGTTACAAGGAAAAGCTGGTTTATACGGAAGAAAAAGAAAAGGAATCAAAAAGAAAAAGGCATAGAAAAGTTATCTGGTTTAATCCACCTTACAGCACAAATGTTCAGACAAATGTTGCAGCAAAGTTCTTGTCAATCATTGATAAGCATTTCAAAAACACCGACTTAGGAAAATATTTCAATAGATCGAATGTTAAAGTGTCCTACAGCTGCATGGGCAATATGGAGTCGATAATTGCGGAACACAATAGAAAGATAATCAGACAAGAAACAGAAAAATCTACTTCATCAGAAAACAAGAAAAAGTGTAATTGCCGAGTTGGTGAATCAAGATGTCCTTTAAAAGGCAAATGTTTAACTCAGTCAATTATATACAAAGCAAAAATATCAACAAATGATGAAAGTTCATTCTACATTGGACTAACCTCTAATACCTTCAAGGAGAGGTTCTTGAATCACACTAAACCTTTCAATCTCAAGAAATATGAAACCAGTACTAGCCTTTCAAAATACATATGGAAACTGAAATCTGACGACAAACCATTCAACATAGATTGGAGTATAGAAGCATCTGCACCTGCATATAATCCAGCCTCTAAAAACTGCAGATTATGTACCATGGAGAAAACAATTATTCTGTTTAGAGAAGAAAAAAACCCGTTAAACAAGAGAAGTGAACTGCTGGGAAAATGTAGACATAGTTTTATCGTATAGATTTAAAGTGACCCTCCATTTAAAAAGTGGGATGCCCAAATACGTTTCTCACCGGTATCCTTTCAACCTCTTTGCGAGTAGGAATGAGGCAGATATCGTCAGTTGAGAATCTAAAAACTCTGGAACAGGAAGACGAGTGTAAGACTCTAGTTGTGACTTTAAATAGTTCAATGAACATGAACGTCAAATACCCTTAAATGTTGCTTAAATGTAGTCTACCTATTCCACAGTTTTCTGGTTCTCACTGTAGAAAATAAGGATAATTTGGTTTAAAGGGTACCCCTGTGATTCGGACATGCCACTCAATAACATTAAATAACGTCCCGATAAAGAATCAATTATCAAAAATTAAGACAGATTCTTCCAAAAACAAAAATACAACTAAACATTAAATTAAGATTAATACTGGAAACTGCTACATCTTGGCACTCTATCTTTATGTACATTATGTACAAGAATTAGGTTGAGTTAGTTTCCCTGAATATACTCCATGTACTGTACTCCTGGCAGCACTCAGGGCAAACAAACGGGGGCTTCTTCTCATGAATCCTGTACAGTCCCATTGATTCAAATTCAAATTATTTATAACATATTGATAAAAATTGATTTTAAAAACTAAGATTCAAATCTAAAAAAAAGAACTGGGTTCCTGCCACGAACTCAATTTGCCAATTCATATTTCTTTGCAACCTGGTGTTGTAAACTTCTGATATTTCAAACTTAGACTATCAAACAGAAAAGTACAAAGTTTGGAAAAAGGAAAAGGTCTACCCCATCGTGCTGCAAAGATATAGAGATAACAAAATCATTGTTTTTGGGAAGAACTAAGTTCCTTTAGTGAACAAACAAGCCGTTATAACCAGTGCATATACTTAAAATTTCAATAACTGCCTTAAATACATCCCTTAAAATAGCATATCAAATGTTGGTTTCGTCTAGGAAGAAATAACTTTAAAGCTGTATGAAACCATAAATGCAAGAAAGAAGAGGCCTATTTAAAGAATTTGAACCGCGTCTCTGAATCGCCTATAACCGATTCCAATTGAGCGCCGTTTAAATCTCGAAACATATCTTTGAAGCGCGACTAAACGCGGTGCAAATATTTTTAATTCGGCCCAAGGCTAAACAAATTCTGAACAGTCGTCTTTAGAATGTCATCCATAATGGGTAAGCTTAGAAAAAAATATTTGGATATTTGAATTATTGTTTTCCTTCTGTGTGCTGAAAAACTACATTTTGAGGGAGAATATTTCCCGCAGATATCACAGTGTAGAGAGGACTTTAGTTGACCACCAGGGTTCAGGAGGTGGTTTGTAAGCTCGTCTTCAGAATAGGTATTCAGGCACTCCAGGCACTGGAATAGGCTAGCAGGGGTCAGTTCCTGAAATAAGATATTATCTAGGTTATCTGGATAATAGATGGAGAAATAAGATATTATCTAGGGTTTCCAACGCAAGTGATTTTACTTGCGCGCAATTTCTAGCCCTTGCGCGCAAGTAAATTTAATTGCGCGCAATTCCGTGCGTCCAACTTTCTTGCGTTTGTATTTCAATTTTTAAGAATATTTAATATACACCTAATGTCAGGTAAAAAATGCAATTAATTATTGCGCAATTCCGTTCAACAACAAAAATATTCAATTTAAGCTTTTGTAGTTGGATACAATAAACTGAACTTTCCAAACATTTCAGTCTCAAATGCTAAGAAATTGAATTTAAAGGGAGTGTTCGCGAAAAATGAAGGGGGATAGGCTTACGTCTAAAAATATTGGAAGGTGATTACTACATATCTTACTTCTATCCGTTGCAATATGCGCCTACAAGGAGAAAACTGTTAAAACGATTCATACCGAAGAACGTAGCGTCTGTACAAATTCAGAAAGTTGCAATATTCGACTGGATCGTAAAAAGATCAATTTAATTTTCAACAAATCATTCAGATATTACAACCTACAATCATAAAGTTGATATTTCATAATATTTTAGATTTTTTTAAAAATTAATATTTCGCTTACAACTTGTTTACACGGCTGGCGCTGGATTTTCGAACATTCCTTGAATATATAAAAATGTCGTCTTCATTATCAAAAATCCTCGAAACAGGAATGAATGTTTACGCAAGTAACACTCAGATTATAGAAAATAAAAATATTATGCAATATCAACTATATACGAATGCGTCGAAAAAAACAATGATTCTATTAAAGGATTTAATTGGAATTAAATTGATTTTTTAACGATCCATGTCGAGTAATGTAACTTTCCGAATTTGTATGGACACTACGTTCTTACGACAATTTTCTCCTTATAGACGCAACAGATGTAAGATTAATAGCAATAACCATCGATATTTTTCTAAGTAAGCCTATACATCTTTTTATTTTTCGCGAACACTCCCTTTAAACTTAATCTTTTATTTCATAATATTCATGAACAGCAGGATAACCAGAAATCTCTGACATACGAAGACGACTTTTTTTAGACTCAAGCAGACCCATTTAGCTGACAGTGATTTAATGAGTTTCTAACTAAAACTTTTTGCTTTGTAACGACATCTAATACGCTTGGGTCGTCTTCCTATACCATAGTTTTCTGGTTTTCACTGCCGCAAAATATCTTATTTTGGTTAAAGAACCTTTCAATTTTAACCTTAAGAAGGTTTTCTATTTTAATGTTCATCCAATGTGAACAAATGAAAAATATATCATGCTGAATTGTTAATTGGTTGCATTTAAACACAAGAAACCTAAAAATTTGAAAAATGATAAAATGTCAAGTGTTTTTTTTGCAAAACAAATGCACAAGAAAGAAAAAAATGTGATTTTATTGAACTACCTTCATAGATTTCCGATGAAGGGGAAATAGATCTTCAAATTTATTCTTCGGTTCAGATTGAGTTAGGGACGCTATCTCTAGGTCCTGGACTGGTATGGAAACCGTCTCTGTGCTGCTCTGTAAATGGAAGAGAAGGTGGATTCGGAGAAGGCATTTATTGGTGAATCTCATCGGTTGGTTGCAGAAGGTGCACTTGAAGCGAATCTCAACGCTTTTTCTAAAAAATATATCAAATAAATTTCTACATTTAAAAAAAAAATTGGATCAATTTAATTTTTTTTACTTTAAATCTTGTACCATCTTTTCCATGCATCCTATTTGGTTGTAGTTAATCATTAACTTAAAGGGAGTGTTCGGAATACATGAAAGGGACCGCGGATAAGCTTACGTCGAAAAAAATTCGATAGTGATCGCTACTAATCTTATTTCTATCTGTTGCGTCAATAAGGAGAAAATGGTTAAAAACGACTCATACCGAAGAGCATTATAGCGTCCATAAAAAATAAGAAAGTTTCAATATTCCATTCCATTCAGATCGTAAAAAAATCAATTCAATTCCAAACATGTCATTTAGATAGTACAACCTATTATCATCGAATTTTATTCGACTGATTCTGATATAATTGATATTTCATGATATTTTTATTTCTTTTATAGGATGCAAATGCAATTTAAACGACGACTAGTAAGCCACCAGGTGTCTCTGCTCTCGGCGTTTCTGCATGGTTCCACATGGGAGAGAGACCTAGCGGGCAAAAAACCGTCGTTTTAAGTGCATTGTATAAAAACACAAATAAAAAATATTATGAATTATCAACTTTATAAGAATACGTCGAATAAAATACGATGATTATAGGTTGCAATATATAAATGATTTGTTTTGAATAAATTGAATAATTTATAAACCGAGCCGAAAATTACAACTTTTTGAATTTTTATGAACGCTACGCTACGTTCTTTAGTATAAGTCGTGTTTAACCATCTTCTCCTTATAGACGCAACTGAAGGAAGTAAGATTAGAAGCGATCACCATCGAATACTTTTTGACGTTAGCAAACACTCCCTTTAAAGTCTTTTAAGTTCCTTTTCACTCCCTTCATTATTCACAATTTTAGCGTTCAAATATTGCTCTACAGGTGGCCAAGCTCAATTTTTCTCGGATTTTTCTGTTCAAATTGGTGAAAAATAACAAATGTCAAAACTTGTCCCAGGCCAAATTTTTCAATTTTAACGGTCCATAAATGGATAATGTAAATTGCCAAATAAATAGGCCTAACGTTTGTCGGATAAATACAGACAAACAAACTGACAAGCCATATATATATATATGTAGAAGAATTGCGTGAAATATAAACAGTTCAAACATAATTATTAAATATATCAGTCACCAATTCAAATCGACTTGTTCATTTCAAGTTAAATAAACTTCATTTAAAAAAAAAATTTCTCACATATTTATCTTGTATTAGTTCCATAGAATTCTTCAGAATTTTTTGTTTAATTTGTAAAATCTTTTTATGTTTTGGGTTGTATTGTTGACTAGAGTGTTTCAGTTCCGATAATTTAAACATGTTTTTTTAAATACATGATTATGTCTTGATATGTGGTAGCTACTTTGTCCTAACTTTTCTACCTTGCCCTAACTTTAAATACATGATTATGTCTTGATATGTGGTAGCTACTTTGTCCTAACTTTTATACCTTGCCCTAACTTTAAATACATGATTATGTCTTGATATGTGGTAGCTACTTTGTCCTAACTTTTCTACCTTGCCCTAACTTTCCTAAGACCTACATATCCTAACTATCCTAATTTTTCCTTATAATCCTAATTTGCCCTAACCATCATATTTTGTCCTTAATATCATACTTAGTCCTAATGGTCCTACTTTGTCCTAACTATCCTACCTTGTCCTAACTATTCTACGTTGCCCTAACTATCATACTTTGTCCTAACTATCCTACCTTGTCCTAACCATTATACCTTGTCCTAACTATCCTACCTTGTCCTAACTATCATACTTTTTCCTAACTATCACACGTTGTCCTAACTATCCTACCTTGTCCTAGCTATCATACTTTGTCCTAACTATCCTACGTTGTCCTAACTATCTTACTTTACCCTAACTATCCTACCTTGTCCTAACTATCCTACTTTGTCCTAACTAGTTAATTCTACGTTGTCCTAACTATCCTACCTTGTCCTAACTATCATACTTTGTCCTAACTATCACAATTTGTCCTAACTATTCTACCTTATCCTAACTATCCTACCTTGTCCTAACTACCCTACCTTGTCCTCCCTACCTGTATATATGCTGAAAGTAAGATGATGGGAGTAGAAATCTATCCCCACAACCAGGACAAGGATCGGTGTCAAGCTCGGCAACGGACAGGTGTTCCAATAGTTCAGAGCTTGCAAACTTCGAAACTTTAGGAACTCTGGGAACGAATTTAATGAATTTGAGCTGCATTGCTAGACTACCTAATAACGGTTCATATTTGAACCACCGATTCAAAGTTAGAGGATTTGAATCGGTTATTCAATTTTGATACGCAGTTCAGCGAACCCTAAAATTAATTAAATTCGGTTCCTGGGCGTGGTTGAGGTTTGGAGAAGAAGTTTAATGTAAGCTGCATGATCAGTAGAAGGAGTAAACGAGAATATTTTCTCCCAATCCACGGTTAAATCCTTCTTAACATCTTCCTTCTTAATATTAGGGACATATTAAAAAAAATTATGAATTTTTTATTAAAAATCAGCCCCCCCCCCCCCCCCCAAGCACATTGTTTAAATGATAAGACTACTCAATAATTGTAAGAAAAAAGTAAAAATATAAAAAGTAAAAAATTTTACTTTGCAAAATAATTTTCCTTTGGGGGTAAAAAGGGATATTTTTCATCTTAATTATTTAATAAAAAGGGGGCACGAAGCGCCAGGAAGTCTTGTCCTAATTTTAAGATTATCATTTTTAAATATATGTGTCCTGCCTTGGTATCGGCTATGCTTGGTTTAGAAGACGCCAGTGCTATTGTCAACTTTCTGGGATATTCATCTTTCACGGTCAGAGGAACTTCTGAAGCTTTCACTTTCTCTTTCTTCTTTCCAGATTTAGATTTCTTTTTCTTTGGCTTCTTTTCTTCAGTTTCTACTCTTATATAATCTATTCTCCATGTTTCTGCGTTACTTTCTACTTTCTCTTTTATTGCTTCGTTTCCACTTTCTCCAGGCCTTTCTCTTAGCTGACGTGTGCAGGGTTTAGGGGCCTTGGGATCTGATGCCTTGATTTCTTTTCCTCTAGATTGGGTAGGTTTAGGGGCAACAGGAGGTTCCTTTAGGGGCAGTGGAGTACTTTTGGGTATTGGAGTCTTTAAATTCCCAATATCAACTGAACAAGACCTGAAAAATGCAAAGCTATAACCTATAAATTTCTAGTTTTTAAAAGTCGAAAAGAAAAATCTGAGTGAAATTGTGCTATATACAACACCGTCAAGAGGGGGGGGTGGCTGGAGCATTTAAATCATATAGTTTCTTCAAAAACTTATCAGTAAGAAAGATTATCGTAAGCCTGATAGCAAAGAAATCTCTCAACACTTCTCTCAAATATTCTCCATTAAGAATTACTCTTCTCGATAAAAAAAATATACACTAAACATTTTTTTATTCTATTTTGGAAAAGGAAGGTGGGGGAGGGCTACGGGGCCTAAGCCCCCATTGGACTTTAGGGGCTTATCAGGCCCCAACGGGTGCTCAGACCCCCCCCCCCTCCCTGGAAATATTCCTGTCTAAGCCTCCGGGGGGGGGGGGGGGTATTTATGAGGTCCAAAGTTCTTACTAAATAATTTACCTAATACAACGTTCAAAACTCTCTTGGAATGATGAGACCTGTTTCTGCAACATTGAATCTTTTCCTTCATCTTTAATAGCACTGATTATATTCAGAACCGGAGAAGTAGTTCCATTAATTGATGCTTTTTCCCCCACTGCAACCGTAGTTCTGTTGATTTGTTCCTTATCATCAAGCGAACTCATAGTTCTATTGCTTTCTTCATTGTCTTTCAGTAAAGCAGTAGTTCCATTTAGCTTTCCGTTCAAACCATCAAAGCCATCACTTGGTTCAGACACAACGTCTTCAAAACAAATATTTTTTACTCGAGATAACGCAAATATATAGACATTTATGAAATGCACCAGTTGAATTTTAATTTATCTTTTTGGCTATATTATATATCTCAGGAAAATTTAATGAAACTATAACAAGATTAATTTTGAATTTTTACTTCCCTCTATAGAGTGAATAGAGTAGCAAACCGAATCACAGCGGATTGTGGTTTCTCAATAAAGGTGACTTGAGGATTTTAGCTCCACCAGAAACATTTTAGGAGGAAGATATCAGAATTCAACACCATGATTTAGACAGAAAATCTACCATATCAATTATAAGATAGAGCCCATCTATGGGTCAGTTGAAATTACGGGTCCGTCCTAGAGAACGATTTATGGACCCACCCCCCTACCCCCCATCCTACCAATTTTGTACATTTACTTTTTATTATTGAGGGTTCCAAAAATTGTTCTTTAGGAAATTGCCACCAACGACAATCTCTTTAAATAATTGTCAATGCCGTCACACTACATTAAAGGGGGGGGGGGAGGGGCTCAGAAATAACCCCCACAGTCCAACCCTCTCCTTAAGAAATTAATCGAAATTACGAAAGATTGTTAAAATATTTTGCCTAAAGTATCAGAAATTTCGTTTCTAGTTTTACTGTCGGCAAAGGCTGCATTGTAAATTTCTTTCAATGTCGCTTCATCTTCAATTGAAGATTTGCACATCTCTGCATTAATTGATTTTTCGCAATTATTGACGTTTTCGCAATCTTCCGAAATTGTAGAAAATTCTTTTTCACTCGGAATGTATACTGCGTCATCTGTTATCTCGACAGCGTCGTTCGAAAGTTCCTCTTGTTCTTGATCAGAAGCTTCGTCGAGAAACGGGTCGACCACGGAGAATTCGTCGATGACTTGACCTGGGGATTTCGTCAAATCGTCCATGGCCAATTCTATAGCATCAATTTTACCCGTTTCATCCTCCGTTTCCATCGTCAATCAGTTATCTTTGATAAAACTTAATTTTGAGCCAAGCCCTATCTTGTTTACATGTTCCATATTTTTGCAACTCTGCAGACAGCTGAAAAGAGGTAATTCCGAGCTTCCTATTGGTCAGAGATAAACTGTTGATGAGCTCTGATTGGTCATATATCTGAGCTTTTCTCTCATTGGTTCATTATTCGTTAAAGAAAACGACATTTGTTTTAGTCAGACGACATTGAGGTATCATTACAACAGTGGTGTATTTTTCGACCAACACATATTCGCTATACTCCACTTCTGACATACGTCTAATCCGCTATACTACACATCCGACCTACTTGCACGTGGTTTTGCAGCTGCTATATGGACTTGTGGCCGCAACGCCCGGCCTCCTAGCCTGTCCTAGCCGCGGCGCTCGGCCCCCTAGCCTGTCCTAGCAGGGGCGTACGAGGGCTTTTGTTTAGGGGGGCATAATGTGCGCGCGTAAAAATTTTTTTTGGGTCCCCCCCCTTGGCAACATTACTGGCATAGGTTCGATATTGCAATAGGTCGGAAAGTCAGTAGGTCAGAAGTTCAGTAGGGGGGGTTGCGTATAGACGATGTAACATTACCCGATCGAATTTATGATATGTAGAACACCCTTTATATTCCGCATGTTAATCGTACACTGATCCTGTTCTCTCCATTATAATGTGTATTGTTTTAACAGTGGTCGTTAAGTACACGTACTTTAGGGGACGATAGATTGATGTGATAATTCAAACGCAAGACATCTAGCTGCCAAACTATCGTCGCCCTAAGTGCGTGGACTACATGAGTACGACCTCCACTATATCACTATCTATAGAGAGAACGGGCTCTGAAATGAAGAGATCATTGATTTTCAAATAATATAGAAGCTACAATGAATACATCAAGTGATCCAGGTATCGACTATCCAATACAAAAGTTTCCAGTTATGAATATTTTTGATTTCCTTCATGTCATTTTTACAGTTAAAGCTACGGAAGCTGAAGCATTGCTTTAAGGAAGAAGTTATAACATGACGCTGAAGTGCCGCAATTTAAGACTGTCAAAAATTGGATCAAAATACATACAATACTCGAAATTATCTCTCAGATTCGAGTAGTTCTTGCATTAAAAATGTTTTCAAGCTCATCAAATCATACTCCAAACTGAATTCAACATATAATTTGGTATTTTATCATAGGTAACGGCTTTTCATAGCCGATTCCGATAATGTACGTATCTCAACAACACTTAAAGTCGTTTTCTCAAGCTATATTTTAACTATTGCGACTTAGCCGATTCCGATAATGTACGTATCTCAACAACACTTAAAGTCGTTTTCTCAAGCTATATTTTAACTATTGCGACAAGAACAAAAAAAGACTACAATTAACACATAAAACATCCCTAAACGCTGGTGTTAGTAAACCCACGAAAAATCAATAAAAAAATTGGTCGTTAGCAAAACCCATAAAAATAATTTCTAAAATCATGAAGCATAAATTAAGCTGTAACATTATTATTAGCGAAAACTAAACTTATCAACAAATATATATGTCATAATTATATATAGCAGTGAAGAAGCTGTTCAAACTCCAGAAAATCTCCGATTTCCAGAAATCCGCCAATAAGAAGTTTGTAAATCTTCTAATTGCTGGTGCTGAGTGAGTAGATTAAGAGAAGAGAGTACGAGTGAACTCCATGTAATCAAGGGCTCCTGAAAATAAATATTCTATGTACGGTTTTTAACAGTGCCAAGTGTTTTCCCCTCGTTAATAAGAAATTGTTTAATATGTTCAATATAATTCAATTCAATTCAATAAGCCAGGGATTGTCCAACAGTTCCTTGTCTAGCTGGGGTACGCCATCACGATCCCTTACAAATCAAGGCTTTTAAGCCTTGCGTAGGACTCAAGACCAAATTTGAGCCATGATGCCTGTCCGAACTCCTTCTGTCAGCAACTAACCAAGCAAATGTTCTGTTTAAAAGCGTCCCCCCTCCGCGAAAAAAATTGATTAATTGTTCATCAATGTTAAACAGTTAAAGTTTATATTAAAAAAATTTAAAAATGAAAGATAAATGTGAACCTGTAATTGTCTGGCCACTGTTGTCCGTGTAGGGTTTCATCCTGGCGATACAGTAGTCCGCCATATCCTTGGACAAGTTTGAGTACAACTCCTCCTTCGTCACGTACTCACGCTCCTAGTAGTATTATTATCAGTGTTGTTATCATATTTTCTGAGTATTATTATTAGGATTATCACTAAAGGAACAAGTATGTTATGTAACTATCCAAATATTATATTTAATTAATGTTATTATCATATTATGTTACTGCTTGGACATTTTAAACTTTGTAACTTCTGTTTAAAAAGATTAATAGATTTAGAGCCAGAAATAAAAACTAGCTTTGAATTCCATATTTTTAATTATTTCTAATTTTCATTTTATTCAGAGCTGAAAACTTTAGAATTGTGGATGCTTGATCCACATAGGATATTCAGATCAAGCAATCAGGATTGTGGGAATCCAATTCTAAAGTTCAATCTTAGATTTCCCTTTCTAAAGTTCTAACCTGGTTCGTGATAGCTCTGAAGGCGAGCTCTATCTCCTCACTGCTCTGCACGTTCTCCGTCTCCTTCGAGATCATAAAGGCCATGTACTCTTGCAGAGTTACAAAACCATCCCTAAATCAAAATCAACTCATTTACATCCTACTCGTATTGATGTTGGGCGTTTCGTTAGTTTTGTTTAAGAATTAATTAAAACGTTTTTGGACAAAATTTCCACCAAATTTTTAGGAGTTTTACAAATTTCAAACTGTTTATATTCCAAGGCCAAATTAAAAGAAAGCCGTGTCTCTAATTTGAGACTCGGCTCAAATTGGTTGGTTCCACTTTAAACTGTATTCAGAGTTAAGCTATTTGAGCCGGCGCTTTATTGGAACCGGTTTTTGTTGGATTAGCACACGGTATAATTCTTTAAATTCGGCCTTTGTACATTTGCTTTGAAACACTGAACGAACTAAAAAACAAAATATGTTCTCCCAAGGTAAAATTATAAGGCTGTTTCTGGAGAACAATATGCTCTGAAAATAAACGAGACGAGTTGTTGATTCAATTTTCCATCGGAGTTAATTCTCACCTGTTTGGATCAACAATGCTAAGAATGGTTTCGAACTCTGGTTCCGGTTCCTCCACCATGGGTAGATCGTATCCCAGGGCTCGGAGACAGGACTTGAAGGAGTTGTGATCAAGACGACCAGTCTTGTCCTAAACAATAAGTAATTTCAGTCCTCAATCCATTTTATAGGACACTATCTGATGAACCAGGCATTGACAAGGTTTAAAATAATACTCATTCAGGGTATCCTTAATTGCGGTAACTTTCTTAATTTTTGGAATTTTTCAAAACTGTAAAAAAATTTAGGTTATAAACGCTTTTTCATAACTGGATTCACTTCTTTTTCTCTAACAAGTGTTAAAAAATGACTTCCAATATTTTGAATGCATAATTCAGCTCTTGTGCGAAAATTGACTAAAACTCTTAGAAGTATTTCGGCCGGGTTGACTTTGAAGAGTAATAACTCTTTAACGAAAGAAGGTATCGACGAATTTAAAAAACTCTCAGGTAGCTCTTGAGTCTTGATCGTGGCTATCTTCGCTCTAGTTTTATCTAACCCGCCTACCCAAAGAAAGGTTAAAATGAGCGTGAAATGAGCTGAGAATCCATCATTTACTGAAATAGGGGTCGACGCTCCTTACAACCTCAGTGTATCGATAAAAAGAAATTCATATTTCTTACAAAATAAGTTTCAACAAGTCAATCGATAAATAACGAGAAAATAATATATGAACATTGTTAAACTGATCAATAATTTTTAAATTATATTTTTTATAAAAATTTTGAAATTTCTTCTTCTTCTGTTTACCTTGTCGAAGTGACGGAACATCATCGAGAACTCCTTGAGAGCATCTTCAGATACTCCAGACTGGTTGCGAGCCTACAAATTAATCAATCAGTCAATCAATCAATTACTTAATAAATCAGTCAATCAATAAACCATCAAATACTTCAGATTAATTATAATATAAGCCTACACATCAATCAATCAATTAGCCCATGAGTAAGTATGTAGAAAAGCCAGTTAATCAATAGATTGTTGCACTGATTGATCACAAATCGCCATGAATCGATCATAGATGACAACTTGATTGTTCCAACCTGTATTTGTTGCTCGAGGTTGTGACGTATTCTCATACCAAGTTGGTTGAGCTGGTCCCACTGCTGGGCTAATCCAACAGTACTATGCTCAGTATACCTTAAACAATTAAACATTTTAGACGTAAATTCGTTTTTCATTAATTGTTCAATGTTCAAATTCCATATTATTAGTCAAATTTTAAGAGCAAAGTTGGTATTTGGGCTTTAAAAGCCTACCCACCAATTTTCAAGCTAAAACAGTATTTCTGAAAATAACCGAAACCGGACGTACAATTTTGTAAATTCGGATCCAGGGAGCAACATGTTGTGAATCCGGATCAAGAATCTAGAATGTGGCGGATCACAAGCAATGTAATATTTTCTACCTGTTGTCAAGGATAAGTTTATCTTCAAGAACAGCTCCAAGATCCTCAATCTTCTTCAGATCATTGGCTCGACCAGCAACCTCGTGGGCCTTTAAAACAAGATAGTGTCAGTCAGAAATATAAAATATATATCGCCATGATCTTCTGATTTTATGATTTCCCATCTCCAATAATGGTTCTTTAAAACAAGATAGTGTCAGTCAGAAATATAAAATATATATCGCCATGATCTTCTGATTTTATGATTTCCCATCTCCAATAATGGTCCTTTAAAACAAGATAGTGTCAGTCAGAAATATAGAATAGTATTTTTTGTTTTTATATCGCCATGATCTTCTGATTTTATGATTTCCCATCTCCAATAATGGTTCTTTTTTTCGTAGTATATAATAAGTCAATAACCTAGATTCTTAAACCAAGAACATCACCTATTAAGTAAATTACAGTTTGTAGTTAGATCCCTTTATCGTTATATGATCCCTATACTGCATCATAATCCCTATAATATATTATAGCCCCTAAAATACACCAAAATCCCTTCACTACACTGTGATTCCATATATTATACTCTGAACCCTTAACTTAACCTTAATTAAATAAGGATCGACTCCTAAATACACATTAATCCCTGTATTACCTTGATCCCTATGGCTGCTAGCTGTTCCTCCAATGTTCCTGATCCCTCCATCATCTGCTGCCTACTCTCTGTTAACCACTGATAGAATAGGTTTGCATGTTTAGCAAACTCCTTTCTCAGTTTATCATTCTCCTCCTGCCTAACCTCCTCCTACAAAACAAAAACAATATTTGTAAAACGTGAAGAAAAAAAGATTAAAAAGATGCTTTTAACAAGAAAATTATTCATTAAATTAGATCAAATCAAATCCGATTTGCAGGGATGTCTCATGTCCATACTCAAAATTGAAGATGACTTCAAATTGGTTAAACTAAGGGTTTCTAAGTATTTTCCTTTGCAAATACATCGGGTAAGGGACATTGTGCCAGCCTACAAATCTCGAGATATCAAACATAGAAACTTAAGATGTAATTTCAAATTGATCCTCCATTTTTCAAGTGGTACGTCAGATTTAATGCGGTAATACCCTTTATGTCAGCAAAATTATGGAATTGAATTTGCTTTTCCTTTAAAAAAATTGATTATTTAGAATTGTGGGTTTTCTAAACAAAGAGAGTTATTGATTGAATTCATCCGGATTGAGAGTAAAACGGCCAAAAGTTTCTATCATAGCCGACTCTCCCTTTAACTTACCAAAGCTAGCTCCTGATCCCGCTGTCCAATGATACTCTGAAGGTTCCTCCAGGTATCAGAGAGAGCCTCCATGGTAAACCACGTGTAAGGATTAGCTCCAACATTAAAGCTCTTGATCTGTTTATCCAACTGTGCCAGGGAGTCAAAATCGGCGTGAGCGGAAGCCAGAGATGCCTGGAACTGCGCATGCGCCTCACGAAGAGATCTGATCTCTTCTACAGAGTTGCAGCGGACCGGATCGGTCATGTCCTCCTCGGCGTTCTCGAACCAGGAATTGAAGGCGGAGGCCTTCTTGGCGAAGGTGAGGTAGAGCTCCTCGATCTGCCTGAACTGATCCTGGACTTGGAGAAGACGTCTCTCTCGGGACGAACTGTCCGAGATCAACTTGTTCCAGCGTTCGATCACGGTGTTATACTTTGCATTGATAGAGTGGCCCTGGATGTGGTTGGAGCTAATTAGCTTGTCCTTCAGCTCCGAGATGTTCTGGATTCCCTCGGTTTCGAAGGCTCGAAGACCGATATCGAAAGTTTCCTGTTTGGTGAGCAGGGTCTGTACACTGGACAGATCCCGACCAAATTCGTCAGACTTGACGTGAGCTTCCTTGTCGGCAATCCAGGATTCGACAACGTCGGCCTTCCACATGAAGCAGAGATAATCGGCGTTATCCTTCAGATTCGTCTTACGAACACTTGCGAGTTCTCCCAGATTGTACATCTTGTTTCTGAGCTGTTCACACCTCTGCGCAATAGAGTCAGCATGATGATTATTCTCCTCAATCAGCTGTTGACCCTGCTCGTTGATATCAGTGCACCGTTCTCCGTGAACTGAAAGATCCGTCTCAAACGCATCGTGCTTCTTGATCAACCCCTGAACAGCGGCCATGTTGTCTCCTAGGTCGGGTACTGTGAGGAGCTGTTGCTTCTCACTGATCCAGGCCTCCTCCTCTTCAATCTTAGCTAGGAACTGCTGGAAGATGATACTTTCTTCCAACTTTCGTCCTCGTGACGCTGACATAGCCTTCAGTTCCTCCCAAACGTCTGACAGTTGCTTCAACCTTTGCTCAATCTCGTCGCCGCCGAGTTGAGAAACGTCAATGAGTTGTTGACCAGCTTCCTGAACCGCTTGAATGGCCGGCTCGTGGCTGGCCAACTCACTCTCAAACCTCTTGTGCTTCTTTCTCAAGTTCTGGACTCCGGTCAGATCCCGACCATAATCGTCGGAGGTGACGAGAAGTTTCTTCTCTTTAATCCAACTCTCCTCGTCGGCGATATCCCTGAAGAACTGCTGCAAGGTGTTCCTCTCGTTAAGCAGACTCTGCCTGTGCGCGGCTAGATCCTGAATATGCTTATACCTTTTGCTGATTCCGTCTCTCTTCTCCATGATATCAGCAGAATCAAACTGTCCAGACTCTACGAGGCTGTCCGCCTGTTCGTTCATATCCTTGATCCTGTCCTCGTGGGCTATGATATCAGCCTCGACAAGCTGGTGCTTCTTCATTAGGTTTTGGACAGAGGCGAGGTCTTTTCCCAGCTCATCCGTGGTCAGAAGTGCTTCGACCTCTCCCAGCCAGAAGTCGAGGTCCTTGACGGCCGCGATGAAGGTCCTCTGTCGGTTGGCCTCCTTGAGCTTCATGGACTTCTCGCTTGTCTTCTGTGTGAGAAGCTCCCACTGCTCAGCGATACTCTCCAACCTGTTCTGAACCGCCTCCTCGCTACCACTGCACTTCTTCCTAAAAAAAACGATTATAAGCTGATAAAATATTAAAAATAGATCCAACTTAGGAGATGAAAATAGGAAGAAAATCTGAACAAGTGGACCAGTATTTTCTAACTTTTCAAGTATTTAATAAAAACTTAAAATAGAACAAAATAAAGGAAAATATTATTTACATCTTTGTTCGAACTAAGGAAAAACTCTTAAAATTAACGTCAATAGAAGAAAAAGTATACAAGAAGTGGATACAAATTAAAGGGACCTGAAAATCAAAAATAAAAAGTTTTACCGGTCAATGAGGTTCTGCCCCATGGCGAGGACGGACTGGATTCTGTCCGCGTTAGCGGCCAACTCGGCCTCAAAGGCCTGGTGCTTCTGGTGCTTAGACTGGATGTTTGCAGGATCCTGGACAAAATATAAATAATAAAATTCAAAATAAACAAGTTTAAAAATCAGATATTAGGTTGTAAAATCTAATAAAATCCGGTTTTAAAATCGGATAAAATCATGTTATTTTCAGATAAAAGCTAATTGAACTCAGATAAAACAAGCTTTAAAATCGGATAAATGCATGTTATTTTCAGATAAAAGCTAATTGAA